GATCGTTTGAATATAGTTCTAACTTGACAGAGACAGAGAGGGGAAAAGAGAGTTGGAAAGGTGGAATTGTCCCCAAGGGATCTGTGGAACATTCACAACAGAGCGCATCCGTCTCTGGGACATGAGGACAGAGGAGGCCTGTGGCATGCCAAGCAGAATGAGCCTGACGAGGCTCACTCTGCTTGGAGAATTCAGCAGAAACGCTGTTCGGCAAGAATCATGGACACGCACACACACACACGCTCGCACACACCAAACTCCTCAATCACGTCCCACACACACTTGCACCAGTCTACCAGTAATTGGAAGGAGGGCTTGTGTGAGCGTAGACACATTTCTCTCTCTGGCTGGTCACTGTCATGTGGCAACATAGTTAATCTGTTTTCCTAGCAGCCGGACGTTGATGGTGAATAATGTTTACACTCCCTCCTGGTCTGCCTTATGAAGACGTATACTTTCTAATGACAGCTCCTCATAAGGCAACAATAGTTCTTGTAAAATAATGAGGGCTGTGGAAATGAATACGTTAACTAATGGTAATTAGTTTATTAAAATGTTTATACCACTAAATGCAGGGGTTTCTATACTATAGTAAAGTACAGCAGTAGTTAGTATGATAGTATATATTAGTATAGTGGAGTGTACCGTAAAAAAGTTTAACATAGTATAGCATGGCTTAGCATTGATAATATAGTGTAGCATATAGTATAGCAAAGTATAACTTAATGTAGAAAAGTATTTTATAGCATAGCATAGTATGAATAGTTATAGCATAAAATACTATAGGATACCATAGTATGGCATAGTATAACATATAGTATCTTAATATAGTAGAATGCAGTATAAAATAGTGTAATATCAAGTAGTATATTATAGTATAGCATAGTAGAGTATATCATAGTATATAAGAGTAAAGCAAAGGATAGTTTAATATAGTGTAGAATATCATAGTATAGTAGAGGACAGCATCATATAGTATATCATAGTATTGTACAGCATAGTATAGTATTGTAACATAACGTACTGTAGCATATTCCTTGTTGAGCTCCTATAGAAGCAGATGAGTCAATAACAAATTCCAAATGTTTGGTCGGATACTTCGTGGCAGATAATTCCCACTGGGCTGTTTAGTCAAGGTGTGAGATGTTTGGATGATTTTCTGAACATTTTTATCCATAAAAAGAAAATAAGTTGGGACTTTGGGATCTGAAAATCACTGTGCAGCTCAGAAACTGGTCGGCACTACTGCATTATTCACTTCTGTTCAGTACTGAAGCCTTTCCAGGAAGGGCCTCTCCACTGGGCTCACTGCATGGTTGTGCAATCTTTTGTTATCATGAGAGTGTTTTTGTACACATGTTTTTTTTTTTCTTTTAACCCAATGTTGTTTCCTATGGTCAAATGAAAAAAGACAATAACACAACAAGAAGTACCAGGAAAATAACATCTTAAAATACCTTGCTTTACTGGCACAGTGCATTGTGGGAAACAGCTCTGTTAATCAAGGTTAATAAAGGAAAGGGGGAAGTAACCACATCTTCTCTGTTTCCTGTTAGAAATCCAATGCCTGTCAGGATTATGGAGATATTCACATGAACTGTGTTTAATAGGCTCAATTAGTCAGCTCAAGAGCTCAATGAACTCTGGCCTTAATTGGGCAGCAGAGTAAGCAACAGTGACAACTTTGAACCCAGTGAAATGGATGCGCTGAAACTGAAACCAAACTGTGGTTAACAAGAGCAACAGGTTCCACTTTGTCTCCCCTCTGCCTCGGCCGATTGTTCATCTTTCAAAGAGCTATTTCCTGCCTCCCTCCCCCTAATCCAGCAGTGTCACTCTGATCTCCTGACTGAAACGTAAAACAATCTGCATAAGGATGCTTTGTTGATCTCACTCTCCTCCTGCACAGTCATGTTAACGCCAATAAATTTGTCACTAAATGTATTCATGCTGTGAAGGCTGCAAAAAAAGCCCATTTCCAAGGTTGGTTCTAAAAAAATCCAATTTAACTAAAGTAAAAAACTTTTTTAATTTGGCTGTACTCTAATAAAAAAGACATTCAGAGTTAGGATTTATTTTCTTTTTTTTTTTCAGCCATCACTCTAACTCTATCATTATAAGCACAAAGGATATTTCTGAACCGGACACACGTTTTAGAAACTTTATCTCTATAAAAGGAGCTTCAACCAATAGAAACTGGGTTTGAACGAAGTAGCCACTAAAGTCTTTGCAACTTTGAGTCATTTTCATTTTCTTAAGTTGTTAATTAAATACAAATGACCTTCCCTTTGTTCCAGGAACACAGTAAGAGAATTATGATTCATTTTTCTGCACAAACTCTTCGGCCACTGCTCTGTTTCACCACAAAATTCAACATGCACACAGGAACTGCACAAATTATCAAAATATAGCACAGATACAGAGACAGGAGCTAACTTCTTGTTAATAGTCTTTTGCAGCTGTCAAATACTGAATAAGTTTGTTGGCAAAAACTGTAATTAGTACAGACATACGAACATTACTATGCAAAACTTTGTATCTTTAATATTACAAAATGTTCCCATTGATTTGCAAATAATATTTACATTATAGGGAACCATGTACTTAATGGCGCCACCTGTGGCAGCCTATGTGGGTTGCAAAGACCCATAATTTCCACATTATAGTGGAAATATATTTAGTATATGCTCAAATGCAAGTCAAATTTGTTAAACAATTCTTTATATTTCCTAAACCTTAAATGCTACTTTAATGCAATTTCAGTATTTTCTAAAGGCATTTCTTCCATGAAGTACTTTTAGCCCATGTGAGAGAGAGTACTGTGAATGAGAGGACCTCAAGTGTGGACTTGGCCAAGCCAGAAGCGCTGATGTGTGCTACCATTTAAAATAGCCCAGACAGACAGCTGAGCAGCTGTGACCTCAGGTCCCTTGAACTCTCAGTTACACTCAGTGACCAGGCTCCTTTTTTTTTTTTCAACCTGTGTGTTCCTATACCCACTGTATTATACACAGCACACTATATTGATTGCAGGGAACTGCTGCAAATCCTCCAGTGTAAATATAGTGGGCATTTAAGGAACTGTTTGGTGATGCTTATTTAAGCTAAAAAAAAAAAAGTTATGATGTCAAGCTAACTCTCGGTCTTCGATTTGGTGGTTTTGCTCCTATTATTGTCAGTATTTCGAAACCATTTGTGGTATTTTGCATCAGTCAGAGGAGGTTATTAAAGGACAACAGACAGTTTCGACTCTGTCAGACGGTGACAATGCAGGCCAATTAGAGCTCAGGCAAAGCTGAAGCATGATATCCTTGGACAGGGCACTCACTCTGCTCTTGTCTGCAGCCATCGCCAGACACTCGGTTTCACAGCAGCGCATGTGAAATAGACTCCGAGGATCAAATGCAGTCAGCGTGCAGCTGGAAGTGTACAACTCTGGGACAGGGTGTGTCTGTGCGATCATCTATGAGCTTTCTATGATGACTTTTGAGTGTATAAATTTGTTCCTGTGCATGACAGCGAAAGAGGGACAAAAAGTGAGTAAGCGCTTATGGGTTTTTTGTGAGCTTCGGCCAGGAAAGTGCCGTTACTAATGTGCTCCAACGCTGATGGTTAAAGCAGCAGGAGGTGTGGCGAGACCTGGAGGGCAACTGGTGCCTGATAGACAGCCACTGCACATAACTGGTCTGCTCATATACCATTACGTGCCTTTTTCATTGCTCAATCAATAAATGAATGACTTATTATTATTGGAGATGACAGCACAGACTAATTCAGGAAAATGACAGCAGATGAACAGACAGAGTTTGGCCTTATAGGAGCTGTCAGAGCGGTCAGCCACACATCAGCTGAGCAGGCAAATTGTCACTGCAGACACAGCTTTCATCACAACCGACTGTCTGCCACAGTCACTTCCAGCACTGGACCTATTCACGTCCTCTGCCCTCAGCCACTATTCCTGGTGCAAACACACAGACAGTTATGTTTAGCATGAGGCTTTTGGATGCAAATAAGGCAGCTCAGACTGACACGGGTCACGGGGCCTTCCCCACATAGCTGAGTCCTGCTCTACTGCTGACCAGCAGCGAGTGTGATCAGTTACACACAGATGTCTTAAAAGGTCCATCCACATACAAACAGATGACTCACTAAAAGGAGTGTCCCAAAATCAAAGCTCCTAAAAACGATTCAAAAAAAAGATCTTAATCTATCCAAAACCATCAATGTTTATGGACTTGTCTTGTTTAATACATACAACATCTGATCCTCTATAACGACAGCAGGCAGTTCCAGTGACGTTTGTGCTGTAACTGCTTCACAGCTGGTTTGCCAGTGTAATTCCAGGGATCTTGAATTTCAAACAAGGTGCGAGGTGTTAAGCTTCATCATTTAAACTGACTTTACTGCACAACGGTGTTGTCAGATATTCCACCTAATGCTGCTTCAGAAACAATCAACATGAACCGCAGGCCGTTCTGTCGGGCTTATGCCTCTCTACAACTTTTTAAATTTATTTTACATTATTGATGTGCGCTAAACATCAGCTTCTCCAGAGATTATTAACCTTTTTGACCTTGGGGTTCAATTTTTATCCTACAAAATGCCGCAGGGCTAATTAAATATTAACACTGTATGGGTGTCATTGACCTTGCACATGGTTTGATATGTATTCAATAACAAACCAAATCCATTTACAGTTTAAAAAGCAAAAAATCTGTCTTCTCTGTATATTGGAGCTTGTCAAAGAACTAACTGACATTAGTGCCACCACATGGTCAAAAACTGCATTGTAACTGAGCTTGTCGTAGATATTATTGGTGGCATCTTCAGTTGATAACCTGTACAGTTGACCTTTCATGTCTGCAGAAGTTCAACCACTCCTGACCAGATTATTTAAGAGTGTGAAGACCTGTATACACCCCTTTGATGAACAGTGATTCCTAAAAAAAAAAACCCAAATGTGTGAGAGGTAAACATAAAGGAGAAGCTCCCGAGACCAGTGAAAAAGCAGAGCACCTTTAATAGAGCCCGACTACACTGTATCGTAGCGATACAAAGGGAGGAAAGGAGACACATAAACAAACAGTGACTTAAAATATGTACATTTATACACATGCGAAGGTATAGGCTGTACATGAATGGACAAGTAGCAGGAAAGAAACGAACGTGGAAAAAAAAACGTGAAGTGATCAAACGTGGTTATTGGACATGAAATGAAACAAATGTAACACAGCTAAAACTGCTTCATTAACTGCAGAGATAGGACGAGTAACTGCATAGGTCTGCATGTTATGGCACTGTAAGGCGGAGATTAAGTTTCCAGTAGAGACAGAATGAAACCTGGATAATGGGAGAGGTATTTCACTGCTCGTGTAAAGCACAGAGTAGGTAGCATTTAGCTAAGACTCTGTTTCAACGTGACGCTTACATTAAGGAGTCAGCTTTAATATAACAATTACACTGGGACATTGAATTGCAATTGCAAATGCATCTGCATGGGCCATTTTTTTAAGTTTCCATTTTTGTTGCATCAAAAATATTTTTTTTCTTTTCAGGAAGAATAGAATTTAGTAGTTTTTTTGAACCAGTTTCTGGTCACTGACCTGGCTGATCTAAAAAGACAGACAACAAATGTATCAAAAGAAAAAACATTCTTATTGTGAAATAAAAGTGTTTTTGAACAGTGGGGAAAAACCACAGAGCCAAAAGAATGTCCCAACAACAAGGAACAGAAGGGAGAGTCCCGTGTACAACAAATCTTACCTACTGTATGTTTCCACATTCCAATCATGTGACAGAGCAATGCCTAGAAATTCAGAAATGTTGCAGGTAAATATATGTATATATATATATTTTTAACATCTTTGAAAGAAATTATGATTTGTGTATTTGAGAACAAACATACAAACAACAACCTGGACTCACTGTATGTCGGTTCATGCCACGAGCATTAGCTGAAACATTAACTAAGGCTGCACTCGTACCAGGACCAGTTGTTCCGTACTCTGTTGAGAGCCCTTCCTCCCTCCCTCGCGTCCCCCACTGCATTCAAATTACTCAAATTGCTGAAGCCCGGTTGACTCCGACACTTACGTCGGTGATTGTTGTTTATATGGTGTCTTAATCTACTGAATGCGCAAGATGGCGATTCGTTGTAAATAGTGCTACATGCATATAAAGATTTTTGCGGAGGCGGCAGGAAATGTAATTATCCGCGATTGTGCACGAGTCCAAGTGTACCGTGCTTCAGCACACCTATTCTAACCGTGCCGTACTCAGGCACAGTACACTTCAGTACACACAGAATCCAGACTCAAGGTACGAAGGCCTAGTGTTAGTGCACCCCTAGTGTCAACATGATTTGCTACAGAAATTAAACCTATTTTTTTCCTTTTCCTACTGTTTTTAGATGATACTGAGCAGAGAAGCAAAGTCCTTTTTTGAAAATAATTCTGATAAATCAATTAAGAGCTTTTTGTAGTATCACAACCTCATACACTCATTAAATCTTTCCACGTATTTACATTTACATATTCTATACACACCTACGTTGCCTGCACCATGAATTCATCTGTGCAAGTGTGCCCGCGCTCTATCTGTGTACTCATTACATTCTACTCCCTGCCAACACTCAAGACTGTTTAAAAATGTAGTGTTCTGGGCCAGGCACCTGGGATCAATCTACCAATTTATCATGCATTCCTTAATCCTTTAAAAAAAGAGGAGTTGATTTTTTTAAATGAGCCAGTTTCTTTTCCAAGGCTGGCAAATGACCATGGTGAGGTTTTAGCCTTAGAAGTTAAACAAAATCCAGCAACAGAGCAAAACAAAGACTGATACTAATAAATGCAGGGCGTGTGAATTTGAGTCTAAATGTTGAAAGTGTAAGGATAACGTTTGTGTTCTGAACTACTCTGAAGGTGCAAGGAGCCGCAGGACTATACTGGTGTCTAAATACACATACACACACCTAATCCCAGTAGAAGCAGCAGGCAGAGTCATTGTAGATGGCTGTGCATGGGATCAGCTTGTGCAATCATCTGCATCTGTACTGCTGCGGGTCGAGTTCCCCCGCAGGTGCCCCCATCTACAGCCTCCTGTGATTTTTGTCCTCCTTCTCTTCTGTCTCCTTTGTTTCTATCTTCGTCGTCCACGCACAGTAGCTGGAGTACAGGAGTAAGGATACTAAATGCAACAGATGATATGAATGTGCGTCTGCATGTACACATTTCCTAGAAAGGACTAAGGGGGAAAGTTTCAACGGTGCTGGCATCAGATGTGGGTCCAACACATGCAAAGTGCGGCAAGAAGCAGTGCAAGACTCCAGGTGTGCGCCCATCTGGCAGGTGGTGAACCCCCTATCACCTTCACTGAGGGGGGCTTGGAGGCGATGACATACGGGCTCTCAGCTACGGGCTGTCGGGCGATGGGCCTTCGATCGACGGTGGAATCTGTATCAGCTGTGAGAGATAAAGGCAGAGAGAGAGGAGAGACAAGGAACAAAAAGATAAATGGTCGGGGCATCGCAGTCTTAAAGGTTAATGGGCTTCAGTGTTAATAGTCCTTTTGGCCTGTAAAACTGTCTTTTAGCATCTCCTGGCCTTGTTTAAGCATGTGCGTCATTACATTTTAAGGATTTCCTAAAGCGACCAGGCATTAAACAGAGACTCCTACATTTCTTTGAATAAAATAATTGAACAGAAATATCACAGCAGGGGTTGACGTATTCATAGAGCTTATGATTAACTACAGATATGTAAAAAATACACACTCACACACACACACAGTGATGCTGTGTTATTACAGATTGTGTTTTTCTTCTCTTCATTGACAGTAAAATTTAAAAAGGCCACTGAATCTGTCGCTCTCTCTCTCTCTCTCTCACACACACGCACAGTGATGGAGGTTGGATGCGTTGTGTAATTTCCAGCAGGACCCTGTAAGCACTCAGTTTATCACCGTTAACCTCAAAGTCTTGCACATAAACCCACAAACACACATAACGATGACAGAAGCTGACATCAGCGGACCCCTTAAAAAAAAGGCCTTCACTCAATTGGATTTCTATCATTACTGTTACCATTATGATGCTGGATTTGTGTGATATTTACCAAGAAGGCCATTTGCAGGGGAAATGGGTTCACTTGGAACACGGGTCGCCTGTCACCGGGTCCGTTTTGTGTGTTTAAATGTTGTGCAAATACTCCAGTCCTGGTAATGTGTCCTCAAATAAGAATAAAAATCCTGCACCACTGACTGCGGTGCAGGATTTGATCATGAAAAGCTCAATTACTTTTCAATGCCTGAAGACAGCAATGTACCTGAGCAATGCTCATTACACATCCCTGTGTTCTCTGAGGAGCACAAGTGCATCCACCGTGTGTGTGTGTGAGTGAGTGTATAACATCTCTGTGAGGTTGGATAGTGAAAACCTGCAGAAACACTTGACCTACAGGTATGCTGAGTGTTGCTTTGTTGGTTATCATTTGGATGCAGACAATTCTGTTGTTTTTTTCTGAAAAGAAAAGAGAATGTTTACTCTTCTTCTTTTTCTTCTTCTTCTTCTCATTCAACCTCCATTTTGCGCCAGTCCGTGACTAAATGCAACCCAACCTTAAAACCTACACGATTGGATTAGAGACAGATTTTCACCCTTAGCACACAACGCACCACAACACACCCCCAATTAAATTCCCATGATCATGCATTATCACTTAGGCCTTCAAGGAAGGGCTCTGTAAACTCTGTGTGGGTGTCTGAATAAAGAGAGGGATGGAAGGACATGAAGGAGTGACGATCACAGGAGACAGAGAGAGAAATAAGCTGAAAAAAGTGAAAACAGTGAAAAAAAACGAAGCAATGCTTATGTTTTTAAAAACAATAGCTGTTACATATAAATTTAGCTGCTCAAATGTCATTGCTTAATTAAATTTAGCACTTGTCAGAAAGAAGATGTTGTACTAAAATAAAACTAAAAAAAAATCTTTCCACACATCTTGAAGATAAAGATGTCACATCGGTCTATTGTCTATTACTTGGCTTATCGTGGTACTGAAGTAGTTTTACTTTGCAGCATTACTACTTCAACTGAGGTCAACTGAGGGACAGACAAGGTCCAAGCCTTTATCACACACATACACTCTGGCCTTCATCAGACACACTACTAATATATGAAACCAGTGGGAAACGACTTTAATGATGATAGGACTTTGGGAGGGATACTTGACTGCATTTTTCTTTCATATTACTGTACGTGTATAGTTCAAAGACGTACACTCATCCGTGGATGTGAGAATGCTTATCAGCCCATCCCTATTGTGCAGCTGGGCTTTATGTGCATCCAGGCTTGAAAAAGGCTGGGCAGGGCTCAAGAGAGCGACAGAGGGGGAGAGGGAAGAAGAGATGGAGATAAAGAGAGGTGATTCCGTGCCAGTGGTTTTTGTTGTTCTAATAGACAATAGACAAAGACATCATTTATCCACAATCAGATTGCTGTTATTGTTTCAGAGTAACAATGCTGTTTTCTGCTTTCTGTGACCAAACAGCACCGAATGGAACAGTGCAGCACGAGTACGACTGCACCGAGGGCAGAGTGAGGGGATAATTAATTTAAAATGTCAATGCAAAAACATCTTTTTCCCCCTTTTTTTTCACCAAATGGTTTTAAATCAGTGAAACCAGAAGTTTAGTTGTGGTTCCTTGCTCCGTCGGCGCAGTTATTCCTACGCTGGAAAAGCCTCTCGGATGAGCACTTAATCCTGAGGACTTCTTCAGACATATGGGTGAAAATTTCCCATCAAGTAAGTCTGAGTAAATGGGGACTATTTTATGGTCCCTTTGTGACCTATGAGGCAGTATAATATATATAATATAATATAATATAATATAATATAATATAATATAATATAATATAATATAATATAATATAATATAATATAATATAATATAATATAATATAATATAATATAATATAATATAATATAATATAATATAATATAATATAATATAATATAATGGATAATAAATATAAAAGGAAAAGAATGGGGAAAGGGAAAAAAGAGGGACCAAATGTAGAATACACAAACATCAAAAATTAGAACAAAGAACAGGAGGAAGAGGGAAAAGAAAAAGTAGAACAACAACAACAACAACTTCAACTCGAGGGCCCGGTGATGTTTTTAACATAAAATAACTTGAAAGGCTGTGCTTCATAAGATGACTCACGACTAAATTCCCCACAGTGGGAAAAAGAAAAAGTGTGTCAAAAAAAAGAAAAAGAAAAACAACAGTGGGTGGAAGGGAGTGAAAGATGATGTGAACGACCAGAGGAGGAAAAAAAGATAATCTGTTTTCAGGGAGATTAATGTGTGTTGTCACTTATATGAAGGATACACGCGCTTCTCCCATCACGACGACACTCGACATGAGAGGACATATGTTTCGCTAACGGTGAAAGACAAATGTATTTTGATAGAGAGGAAGCGCCACCGTAGGGAGCAAACACTGACACTGACAAGAAACCAGAAACGGAGAGGAAAACAAATGGAACCTGACTTGAGAGAGGTCTGTGTCAAAGCGCCGACACGTGTACCGAGGTGGTTTACTTTCATTTGTCGATAAAGTCTTTGAGGAGAGAAGACGTGAAGTCTTGTCTCCCCTCACTGAACACTGCCTTGAATCTCAGGGCACCACGTTGCCCTAGTTACAACAATGCAAGATCCTGGGACCACTGTGTCGACCTCTGCGTTGGCTGAGTGTGTGAGAATCACTGCGTCGTGCCTTTTGCCCAGATGGGCAGTGAGTGTATGTTGTTGTTCTGCTGGTCCAAGAGCAGGAACAGCTGCTTCTAAAAAGACAGCCCACCACAGGAAGAGAGGGTTTGTAAAAGGTGGAAGCTCAAAAGGGAAAAGCAGGGAATTTGTATGAAAATGTGATTTGGTGAATGATAAAAGTGTTTTGTGTAAACAACACTTGTGCATGACACAGCAGTAAGAAACAAACCCAACATGTGACATTGGTGTAAGCCTGTTTTAAGAGCTCACTGTAGCATTACTGAAGTAATCCACTAAGAATGAAGCCAGGAAAGAGCCGGGCTTAGCATGTTGTCATGGTATATGATGTTGAAATGACAAAGCAGCTTAAACAGTCTGAGCTTAAACTTGTGGTTAACACCGACATAAAAATATCATTCATTCGCTCTGCACTCAACTCTGTCCCCTGCTTCTCAAACTGTGTTTTAACAATATAAAAATATTAAAAGAAAACTTTCACTTTTCGTCCGGCGTAAATCATGTGTGACAGTTTTCACTCCTCCTGTGAGTTTTGATTTATGATGTGGAGGCAGTGTGGTGGTAGAGGGGGGTCAGTAATATGCTCCTCCTTCTGCCCATTCTCATCACCTCCCTCTCTCGAGGCTCACACCTCCTGCGTTGACCTTGCAGGTTTTTCTCCGCGCAAAGTGGTTGATGGGATACGATCACAGTGGGTGGGTTGTTGTTAAGCAGCTCAACGTCCTGAATTTTGACAGGATCACCAGATTTGGCCTGGTGGTGGTATTTTATTAGCAAAGACTGACCTTTGACTTATTTTCTAACCAATCATGTGGACAAACACCAACAACGGAATGCTAGACGTTGGAATATGTGAAGAGACGCTCAACTTTCAGATGTTTGTAACCGCCTCAGTTGATCCTCGACTGTGTTCTGCAGTTTGTCTTATTATTCAACGTGCATTTACTCATTAGCACAGGGCAGATGATTGACACATGTTTATACAGCAGTCTTGCTAAAATGCCATGGGAGTCTACAGGAGACCCAGTTTGTGAGGTTCCTGTTCTCATTTTGCATCTAACACAGTTTGGGTCTAAGATATCAAAGCAGGCCTCGCTCACAGCAGCAGTACAGTTCATCCAACTCAACTTTTGACAGCCTGCATACTCTTAAGTCTAGAGTGATGCAGAAAGAACAAAAAAAAAAAGTTTTCTCTAAACAGAAAAGAAGACAAGAATTAACAACAAACTCCTTTTTTAATGTCATTTTTAAATGATCACAACAATTAAAGTTTAGCTTTTTAAAAATGTTGTATAATAACTACAGAAATGACAACTTAACAATTTGATTCCAAGTTTTGGACTTGTTGACTGATTTCGAGATGAAACAAGTGTAAAAACTATAATAATTGATCAAACAAATATTGGTAAAGATATTATTTTAACTTATTTTTAATGATTTCTAAACAATTGTATTATTTCACTTTCTTTAATATAAATCAGGTTCAAATAAAGTGCAGGATGTAAAAACATCTGAGCTGGCGTACCTTGATCACGTGACTGCTCCAGTGGCAACTACTAAAATGTCTCAGGGTCACCCGAAATTTGTGACCTCAAAATGGGGTCACAAGCCAAAAAGGTTGTGACCCACTGTCCTAACTAGACTCAGGTCGAAACCCTGATGACCTAAGA